TTCCCAAATTCCCATTCCTGGCTGAATTCCTGCTCCTCTGGCCTTGGTTCCCATCAAGGGAAATCCCACGGATTCACCCCTGGACAGCTCCAGCCTCACCCACGGCAAATCCCTCCTCACATTCCCATGGGATTCACCTCCCCATCCCAAATCCCAAATCCCACCTCACATTCCCGTGGAATTCTGCTCTCCTTCCTGCCCCAAATCCCAAATCCCTCCTCACATTCCCGTGGGATTCACCTCCCCACCCCAAATCCCAAATCCCATCCCAAATCCCTCCTCACATTCCCGTGGGATTCACCTCCCCATCCCAAATCCCATCCCAAATCCCAAATCCCTCCTCACATTCCCATGGGATTCACCTCCCCACCCCAAATCCCAAATCCCTCCTCACATTCCCGTGGAACTCAGCTCTCCCTCCCATCCCAAATCCCACCCCAAATCCCATCCCAAATCCCTCCTCACATTCCCATGGGATTCACCTCCCCATCCCAAATCCCAAATCCCTCCTCACATTCCCATGGGATTCACCTCCCCATCCCAAATCCCAAATCCCACCTCACATTCCCGTGGAATTCTGCTCTCCTTCCTGCCCCAAATCCCAAATCCCTCCTCACATTCCCGTGGGATTCACCTCCCCACCCCAAATCCCAAATCCCATCCCAAATCCCTCCTCACATTCCCGTGGGATTCACCTCCCCATCCCAAATCCCATCCCAAATCCCAAATCCCTCCTCACATTCCCATGGGATTCACCTCCCCACCCCAAATCCCAAATCCCTCCTCACATTCCCGTGGAACTCAGCTCTCCCTCCCATCCCAAATCCCACCCCAAATCCCATCCCAAATCCCTCCTCACATTCCCATGGGATTCACCTCCCCATCCCAAATCCCAAATCCCTCCTCACATTCCCATGGGATTCACCTCCCCATCCCAAATCCCAAATCCCACCCCAAATCCCTCCTCACATTCCCATGGGATTCACCTCCCCATCCCAAATCCCAAATCCCTCCTCACATTCCCATGGGATTCACCTCCCCATCCCAAATCCCAAACCCCACCCCAAATCCCTCCTCACATTCCCATGGGATTCACCTCCCCACCCCAAATCCCTCCTCACATTCCCATGGAATTCACGTTCCCACCCCAAATCCCAAATCCCACCGCTCCCAAATCCCAGACTTTAACACCGCTCCGGGACCTCTCGGCATTCCAAGGGACGCTCCCGAGGCTGGACGAGAATTCCCAAACCCCGGGAACGAACCCCGGAGCTTCCCTCGGGCACACAAAGCCCCTCATTGAGGCCAGGATCCGTCGGGATCGTCCCCAACCCCGGGGGGACAACGGATCCATTGTGGGAAAAGCTCGGGAATTGTTGGAAAAGCCACAAAGAATTCCCAGGGATGATCCCAGCTCGGCGTTTCTCCCGGAAAATTCGGGAATTGGGGAGCTCCAGGACCCCTCCCCACCAATCCCAAACCCCCTAAGGGTCGATCAGTGGGGCCAGGATTTTCCCCCCATGGAAAAAATTCCAGCCCAATTAGGTTAATTAATGGATTTAGGGAATTCCCAGCTCAATTCCCGGATTTTTCCAAAGGATTCCTGGCACTAAAAGCCCCTCAGGATCCTCTTCCCATGGGTTTTGAGGGGAAAAATCCCATAAAAACGGGATTGTGATATCCCAGCGTGGATCCAGAGCTTCCCAACAGCCCGGAAAATCCGGGATAAAGCTGAAAATTCCAGCCCAATTAGGTTAATTAATGGATTTAGGGAATTCCCAGCTCAATTCCCAGATTTTTCCAAGGGATTCCTGGCATGAAAAGCCCCTCAGGATCCCATAAAAACGGGATTGTGATATCCCAGCTGGATCCAGAGCTTCCCAACAGCCCGGAAAATCCGGGATAAAGCTGAAAATTCCAGCCCAATTAGGTTAATTAATGGATTTAGGGAATTCCCAGCTCAATTCCCAGATTTTTCCAAGGGATTCCCGGCACGAAAAGCCCCTCAGGATCCCATAAAAACGGGATTGTGATATCCCAGCGTGGATCCAGAGCTTCCCAACAGCCCGGAAAATCCGGGATAAAGCTGAAAATTCCAGCCCAATTAGGTTAATTAATGGATTTAGGGAATTCCCAGATTTTTCCAAGGGATTCCCGGCATGAAAAGCCCCTCAGGATCCCATAAAAACGGGATTGTGATATCCCAGCGTGGATCCAGAGCTTCCCAACAGCCCGGAAAATCCGGGATAAAGCTGAAAATTCCAGCCCAATTAGGTTAATTAATGGATTTAGGGAATTCCCAGATTTTTCCAAGGGATTCCCGGCATGAAAAGCCCCTCAGGATCCCATAAAAACGGGATTGTGATATCCCAGCTGGATCCAGAGCTTCCCAACAGCCCGGAAAATCCGGGATAAAGCTGAAAATTCCAGCCCAATTAGGTTAATTAATGGATTTAGGGAATTCCCAGCTCAATTCCCAGATTTTTCCAAGGGATTCCTGGCACTAAAAGCCCCTCAGGATCCCATAAAAACGGGATTGTGATATCCCGGCTGGATCCAGAGCTTCCCAACAGCCCGGAAAATCCGGGATAAAGCTGAAAATTCCAGCCCAATTAGGTTAATTAATGGATTTAGGGAATTCCCAGCTCAATTCCCGGATTTTTCCAAGGGATTCCTGGCATGAAAAGCCCCTCAGGATCCCATAAAAACGGGATTGTGATATCCCAGCTGGATCCAGAGCTTCCCAACAGCCCGGAAAATCCGGGATAAAGCTGAAAATTCCAGCCCAATTAGGTTAATTAATGGATTTAGGGAATTCCCAGCTCAATTCCCAGATTTTTCCAAGGGATTCCTGGCACTAAAAGCCCCTCAGGATCCCATAAAAACGGGATTGTGATATCCCAGCTGGATCCAGAGCTCCTGAAAGCTTGGAAAATCCGGGATAAAGCTGAAAATTCCAGCCCAATTAGGTTAATTAATGGATTTAGGGAATTCCCAGCTCAATTCCCAGATTTTTCCAAGGGATTCCTGGCACTAAAAGCCCCTCAGGATCCCATAAAAACGGGATTGTGATATCCCAGCTGGATCCAGAGCTCCTGAAAGCTCGGAAAATCCGGGATAAAGCTGAAAATTCCAGCCCAATTAGGTTAATTAATGGATTTAGGGAATTCCCAGATTTTTCCAAGGGATTCCCGGCATGAAAAGCCCCTCAGGATCCCATAAAAACGGGATTGTGATATCCCAGCGTGGATCCAGAGCTTCCCAACAGCCCGGAAAATCCGGGATAAAGCTGAAAATTCCAGCCCAATTAGGTTAATTAATGGATTTAGGGAATTCCCAGATTTTTCCAAGGGATTCCCGGCATGAAAAGCCCCTCAGGATCCCATAAAAACGGGATTGTGATATCCCAGCGTGGATCCAGAGCTTCCCAACAGCCCGGAAAATCCGGGATAAAGCTGAAAATTCCAGCCCAATTAGGTTAATTAATGGATTTAGGGAATTCCCAGATTTTTCCAAGGGATTCCCGGCATGAAAAGCCCCTCAGGATCCCATAAAAACGGGATTGTGATATCCCAGCGTGGATCCAGAGCTTCCCAACAGCCCGGAAAATCCGGGATAAAGCTGAAAATTCCAGCCCAATTAGGTTAATTAATGGATTTAGGGAATTCCCAGATTTTTCCAAGGGATTCCTGGCACTAAAAGCCCCTCAGGATCCTTGGAAAATCCGGGATAAAGCTGAAAATTCCAGCCCAATTAGGTTAATTAATGGATTTAGGGAATTCCCAGATTTTTCCAAGGGATTCCTGGCACAAAAAGCCCCTCAGGATCCTTGGAAAATCCGGGATAAAGCTGAAAATTCCAGCCCAATTAGGTTAATTAATGGATTTAGGGAATTCCCAGATTTTTCCAAAGGATTCCTGGCACTAAAAGCCCCTCAGGATCCTTGGAAAATCCGGGATAAAGCTGAAAATTCCGGAGAATCGACCCCACCCCGGGCACTTTTCCATCCCCATGGATCCCTACGGATCGTTGGGACAATCGGAACAACCCCGAGGCCACGGCTCATCCCACTTTGTGATCCAGAGGGTTGGAAAATTCCGGGCTGAGCATCCCAAAAATCCCGGAATTCCCACATTTTAAACATTCCCGAGGATGGGATTTGAGGAGGGACGGGATTTCCTGGGGTGTAATTAAATCTTAATTAGCACAAGCTGCGTAACGAGGTGGGGGAGGATTCCCGGATGGATCCGGCATCCCACAAAAACGGGGATAATTAGCAGGGATAATTTTTCCGGCTGTAATTAAAGGCTGCCAGAATTCCCAGGAATTCAGGATAATCCCAAAGTTTCCACCCTGACCCTTCCTCTTCCTGCTGGAAAATCCCAAATCCAAACTGGGAATGCTGAAGTGGGAAAAGAGGGGAAAATCCCAACGGATAAAGGGGAAAAAGGAGCGGAAAAGTCGGAGAGGGGCTGGGCTGGCTTTGGGATTTTGGGATTTTTTGGGGTTTCTTGGGATTTTTGGGGGATTTTTTGGAATTTTTTGGGATTTTTTGGGTTTTTTTGGGGTTTTTTTCTGGGTTTTTGTG